TATTAATAGTAACAAAATAAGGCATTAAAAAGATATTCAACATCAGTTTGTGCATTGAAGAACAATCATGCATGGCTCTAAACCATTTTAACCAACCCCCAAGACTGAATTTCTTGTCTTTTATATAATAACTGCCCTGACTGTGCTGAATACCAGGTGTGAAGTCTGAAATCAGTTATATCTTGCTGTTGCTTGATCCTGCTGCTTGAACTGTAAAACAATATTTGTGTAATTTCCTGCAAACACATGGCTACTATTGTATTTTTGAGCCCATGATATTTTGCGTAGAATTGGTATGTTGACTATTAGAATCTGGCAGAATTTTTTAATGTTGGCTTTAAATTGTGCCAATTGTATTAAACACGTAATTGATATATATCATATACAATGAGATTCAGTCCATGGAATCAGAAGTGGGGAAAGGTTGGCTGACGATATATTGCCCTTATTTGTGACTGAACCTTACCTTTACCTTGAACAACCACTGTTTCCTTGCCCAGCTAACTTACTAAAATCTAGTCCAAATCTTGTCCAAAACAATCAGGTAAAGTAGTGTTGGCTGTGTTTATTGCAGTTTGGTCTGAGATTGAAAGGAAGGAATTTCTCATGTATAGATGCATTCACATCATTTTCTTCCTCAATCATACACCTAGAGACAGTTGTTCTATGCCAGAAATATCTGCTGTTTCATTTTCTAGAACTGAGACTCTCCTGGAAGCATTATTCTTCACAATATCCTCTTCTCACAAAATTTTGTTGCACAAATTTTATTAACTCATGCTGCATTCTTGCAGGTCTGTAATGATCTGAATTACTTTCCCCTTATTTCACCCTCTTCTTCAAGACAAAACTGAAAAAGGAGTTTAATGTTAATTAAGGTACTGGTCAGACCACCAAAAGCAAGGTCATGTGATCCACAATACACCATCACTGATATGGCAAAGTGCATCTTCTGGTTATTTTCCTCAATAGCTCTTGCAAAGGACTTAAGAGCACCTTCCTACATATGTTTAGGCAGAAGAGAACCCTACATATCCCAGCATTCTCCAGCCAGTCATAAGTTTCTGACTTTTTCTTGTTCATGATGGAAAGGAATTAGATGCATCTTCATGGGGATCCCTGTGCCATCCATTTTTTGAGGGCTCTCTTGCAGTTTCCTTTAAATCTTTGCACTTGGAACACATTTTGATGATTGATGTTCCCTATACCCAGCATACCCCTGGGATAAGGCAATGCAGTAATGCTATACAGGTCCCTTCAGAACAGCAGAATATGCCAGCCAGACCATACAAACTAAAAGAATATACTAAGGAAGCCATTTGGAAAGCAATACATAATGAAATACTCTTGGACCTGTACTGCCATGCCTGAATGCCTGACTTTCTGTAGGGGTCCACAGTCTTGTGTGAAGTGATATGATAGGCTTGCTTTTGATACATTCTGTATTACTAGCTTCTCCTGCGGTTCAGTATGTGGAGTACTGCTAGTTGCTTTAGTATTTTCAGTTGTATGTTCTCATGCATGTCCCAACCTCTGCCTAAATATTTTGTCTCTTTTGAGGTAAACACATTGGCCCAGTTAACATGGTACTTGTCCTAGTCATATCCCTGGGCCTAATTTGTGTAACTAACCATGATTACAGCTTGTTGTATGAACCCAGCCAAGGTGGCTTGTTGCTATGGGAAATGAGGCACTGAAACCCCACAAATTATTATTGACTTGTATCTCTACAAGAGCCCACGGAATATCAACAGCTACACAAATGGAAACATCAGCTCCTTTGCTTTCTCTAAGAACCTTACATAGAAAGCCTTTATGCCTTTTGGTCTTCTAAGCAAAGCAGAAGCACTTCCCAAGGAAAGGATTTTCATTAGCTATTTCCTCACAACCTTGTCAGCATTTATGGTTTCTCTTGACATCTTCTCCCATCCAGACACGTGCCACTCAAAGAGCAAGGTGAGGTCCAGCAGCACTCCAATCTCCTCACCTGGTACCACAGCTCCTTTGTTCAAGTTATCCTTATATTTCCATGGTTTCCAACCCTTCTACCATTTGTAGAAGCAGCAGCCTAATGAGATCAGATCAAGCAGCGTTCATCTGCACGGACCGGCCCAGGAACGCTCTCAGCATACAGAGTATGCCTGGCAGCCACTCTCAACAGGAATGGTTTCAAGAGATTACTCCTCTGGTTGACTGGCTGGTTGTACATGCATCCATTTCATTAAAGTAAGTAAATAAATCTATTCAGGATTCAGGAGTCTCTCTGTGGATACCCATGATGTGCATTAGTGAAGTGTGAAGACAAGCAAACACTAGAGAAGCTGTGATTAATCAATATGAAATGTGTCAGCATTACCCTTCACTGTGAATGTGGATCTCTTTTGGGATCAGGAGTCCACAAATTATGTTCAGTTTTAGTAGCCAATTTTTTTTTCATCAGTCAGTAAGAAAGGAATGCCATAAAAGTGCCTCTAAAGATATACAGAATATCATTGCCCTTCCACTCTAAAAGTAAACCCCAGACACATATATTCTTAGGACGGGTAACCACACCAATGGCACTGTTCCCATTATCCTGGGTCCCCGATAGTTCTTTCTGAAAATTAAGCATTGCTACAATTGGTAACAGTCCCCCAACACAGCATAATTTTCAAAACCAGCATTTAAAATAAATGCTAGGAAACACTATCTTTGCCCCAAAGAAATGCATTCCAGATTTTTCTTCCTTCTCTGCAGCAGCATTGCATTGCAGTGGCATTTAAAGAGATGCACTTGGTTTGGTTTACAATGAAGCCAATCTATCAGATTCGAATTTGAGCTGCTGGGGGACGGGGGGGGGGGGGTGAAACGGTGTTAATGGGAAATCATCCCTAATTGTACTTTGATACAGCATAAGTGACGTCATGATTGCCACCACCAAAGCAGCCAAGTTTTCCAACCTACAGAGACCAATTTTATTATTTTTACATTTTAAATATATATTATGATACCAAACTTCGATGGTGGTGATGGTGGTGGTATTTTTATGTGAGTGGCTGATCGTCCTGGGAGAAAGAACGAAGTTGGGGCATACTTGACTTGCGGCTGATAGTAAGGGGAGGAGAAAACTGAGAATTTAACAAAAGTTGATTGGGGTCATTAATTTTGGCAAAATCTCTTTTGTAGAAACCTTGTTTTTAATTTGAAGATGCAAATTCATTCCAGAAAGCATTTAGGGGGGTTTCTGAGAAGCATGATTATTTACTTGTATCTGTACAATGGCAGAAGGCTTGGTGGTTGTGATTTGGGGCTCAGACCCAACCTCTGCTTTATGGACTTGGGCAACTTACTCATATCCAGGTAGTCCCCTAGCAGTTGTTTGTAGCAGCCGTCAAGCAAATGCCTTTGGGAAACATAAAAGTAGGCCACGAGGATACCTGCATTCCTCCATTTGTCACATCATTTGATTGCTGGGCTGATTCATACATAACAAGAAAGCAGAGCTGGTCCATGGCTTTGTTGAAGGTTGCTCAGATTATATTTCTATTTCTATTTAAATTTTTTATTGGTGTTTAGCTACAGCAGTGTCATGTGAATGAAACAGCTAGGCAAAATATATCTGATAATAGAGGAATGCTTGGAATTATATGCAAGCTTTATTGGGATGGTCTGAATTTTGAGTGTTTTTGAGTATGAGTATTTTTCTAGCCATCTACTATCATGCCTATAATCTAAGTAAAGGGTGAACTGCTTGTCTGTCACTGTATATTATATCTCAAGAGTAAATGAAAAGAAGTGAAATCCTAATCTTATTTAAGCTGGTATGAATACTACTGTATGTTTTCTGTTTAATTACAGGCAAACGAATGCAGAGGGGTTGAGAGAGCAATTTTAATGACCTGTTCCCTTAACAAGCACTTAGATCCTAGTACCAATAAAGTGATATGCCTGACATCGCTTAGAGCTAATGTTATTTTTGGCTACTTTGCCTAAGGACTTAAACATTTACTTTGATAGCTCCTGTTCTGCACAGACGATAAACACAGAAGGAATTGATTTTCAACTTCAGCAACAGCCTGTTTGGGAACAGGAGGCTTCATTAATCTTCTATTCCCTGGTTCCCTTCTCTCTCTTTGTTTGCAAGAATCACCTAGATTGGGGGATTGCAGAAGTCAGCCTCCCTTTTCATTGGAGCAATGATACATTAACAAGCATGGGTACAATCATCTATATGAGGCACGTACAGAAATAATGAGCCTGTAAAAGGGGAAGGCTGTTTTTTCTTAAATTTACTTGTGCTGGCTTTGGATTGCTTTATTCCCATTGCAGTTGAATCTGTCTAACATAGAAGTTTAAATCTTAGCTTTTCTTTTCCGCAGGCCTAACAGAAGAAAAAGATGATCAAAGGTCCTAGAAACCAGATCCCAACTGGCTTAAAAGGAAGAAACTTGGGAGCCAGTCATGCATTGTGTGCAAATGCCTTGGATGGTGCCCCAGTGCTAGTTTACTAAGAATAGCAGTTCTAGCTCAAGGAAAGAAAGGGCATGAGAAGGTACCCCAGGACCTGCCATTTCCCCAGTCCAAATTGTACTCCCTGCCACACATAGTGTTCCTGTCCCCCAGCAAGGTGCAAAATGCATTCGCTTTGAATTCTACAAGGAAACCAAGAGAGATTTGGAATGGGGAACTGGCAGGTGATTGAATGCATTAAGCATTTCCTGGCTTCTTACCACTTCTCAATTCCCCTGATCCAAAACTGCCTCTGTGTTTTGAAAATGTGACACTGCAAGGGCTGTGTAGCTTTGAAAGCCAGGCATGTAATTCTCCAATTTCTCCTTTGTGCTTTAAATAATACTTTTATACCTCTAAAAGGACAACTTGAACACTCCACTTGCTGGCTGGCTGGCTGGCTGGATGGATGGATGGATGGATGGATGGATGGATGGATGGATGTGCAGGCAGTGCTTTACCAATGGGGCAGCAGGAGGAGGGGAATTGGGAAGAGACATCAGCTGGGTGTTTCAAAATGGAAACCGGATCATTTGTCCAGCTTCTATCTGAATCTGATCATAAACCCATTTCCTGTTGCAGCGACACTCGGCTCCACACTTGGTGGAATTGCACTTGGGGCAGGGGTAGAAGCAGCCCAAGCAGTTCTTCTCTAGGCAGTCACACAAATCTGTCTTGCTGGAAAGCAGCCGGCCATGTTTGTCATATTTCTTCAGAGTCCTGTAAAAAGTCAAATGGTGGGATTCCAGTTGGTTATCAGCATGTGAAGCAAATGGAAATGGAAAAGACACTAGCAACCCCAAACTGAAATTGGTAGGTTTTGTTCTATTCATCACAAAGGATGGCAGGAACTATCAGGGTGGAGAGTCTGAACGGAGGAGAGAGAAGGAACTGTCTTGGGATCAGGGAGAGTGGGGAGGAGTCCCAAGGCAGCTGAGAAGGAGCCAGAAGTCTCTTGGACTGGGAACTTTGTGCTCAGTGTAAATCTTTCAGGAATGAATTGTCACAAGCATCCAATATCCTCCTTCTCAGAAACTGAAGTCTAGTCAGTGCCAGAGCCCCTGAAATGCCTCACTCTCGCAAGCGGGGTGCAAGAGCATAACCTACTGATGAAACCTCCCTCCAAACCTCTAGCTGTAGTTTCTTAGGAACACTAAATAAGATGCAAGAAGAATGGGGAGGAGAGGTAACTTCTTGCACTGCATAAGCATCTTCCCGTTGGAATAGGATAGTTGCCAATTACTGACTTTTTACTATGAGCAGGAAAGGTCTTAAACCAGATCATGGCAGTGAGTTGAAGCACTCCTGCCATTCCAAGTGTGGAACAGTAAGTTTTGATTTTTGTTTTTCTGGACCAACAAAAACAAAACCCCACACATGTATTTTTGGTAGCTTAAGCTTAATATCCTTCAGCTGTTTTTATATCTGCAAAGCAAAAATGTGCAGGCCCGTATGCTTTCTTTTGTTTGCAGGAGTAAACATTGATTGGGAGAGGCAATTTGTTGCTGATAACTAGTGCTGGAGAAAGGGAAGAAGTCCCTTCAGACTGCAGTCTCTGTAGCTACAGCTGGTGGTTCCATCCTCACTTTGATATTTGTGATCAACTGAAGAGAAGACTCCAGAGAGGCCCATGTATCATCCTGGTCTCTCACCAGATGTACATTATCCACTGGAGCTATTAAAGGGGTTATGATTTTTCTCTAACAGGGAAAAATGTTAGAGGGAAAAAGATGAATATCACCATCTTTGATCTGCTTCTGAACGTCCCAGGAGTATTTCCCTAGCAATCACTGACCTTCAAGCAATTTCCGTGTACATTAATTTACTCAGAAACACATCCCAATGATTTCAATGGCACTTCCAAGAAAGCATACATAGTATTGAATAAGATTTATAATCTTGTCTTAGATTGTAAACATCTAGACCCTACCTGGCAATATTATGATCTTCCATAACTTCACATATAGAATAAACCTGAACAAAACTTCTTACTTCTTTGAAGTATTAAAACAATCCTGGTTTATCATTGACATGCAGGCTTTCTTCTGCTGTTCCCGAGTTTCTGGGTTGAAGTCGGCTAGCAGTGGTCCTGGATTTTGAAATGCCAGACATTTCAGCTGCCGTTCTATTTGTTGCTGTAAGCAAATAAACAAGTGGTTATAGTGATGCAATATTCAATTTCAACTGGTAGCCAGTGTAGGTGGAAAAGGACTGGCACTATGTGTTCATACCTGCCGGTTCCAGTTAATAATCTGGCAGCTCTATTCTGAACCAGCTGAAGTATCCGTACTGTTCTAATACTGAATTTGAATTCAGTATTATAGCAGAAGTAGACAGAAGAGAATTTGTAATCAGAATGCAAGGCCAACAAACTTCCTTTCACAATCATTCCTGTTAAAGCATCTCAACAACTATTATGCTTTTAACCAGTGCTGCTTCAAGTTTAGCCAAGGAAGTTGTTGCAAACCAAAATGCAATCTTGTATTTTGGGCAACGCATGAAATGGGCAAAACTCAGTGAGACGGGCATCTCATGTCTAAAATGTCCAAGAGCAGAATTTCCTGTGGAACTGTAGCTTCCTGTCTTTGGATTCAATTTGGAAGGCAAAGAAAATGGCAAATGCAGCAATCCCTAACAGGAAATGATGCTCCTGAACATGCTCAGCAGTCTAATTTCCAAATAAAGCAAGGCCCTAAAATATCTTTCCTTTGTTTAGTGAACAAACCTCCCCGTGGCCAGTTATTACCTCTCATTTCACAAAGGTAAGGGTGGAGGTTGCTGGCTTGCTTGGGAGAGGGAGGAGAGACTCAGGGGAATTGGTGAAGCCTATTTCTTTTCTTTTTGCTTCTCTCCAGGCCAATATTCCTGCTGTTGAAGTATCAGAATATTTCCTTCACTACAGTGGGATATCAGCACATGGATGCAAGTAAGTTTCAGAGGTATGACTAAGGCAATGATAATGTGACAAGACCTTCCCCCACCTTGTCGCTCAAGGGCAAAGGCTGCGGGCGTGTGGGAGGGGTGCTAGCAAGGAAGGGAGTTGCACACCACCCATCAAAGTGCCCGCCTCCACTCCCTGCTAAGCAAGACATGTGCACTGACTGGAAATGAAAAGTGGGATCATGGTAAGCCAGCATTTAAGATGCAAAGACAACAAAGAAAACACAGGGGTGCAATGATTTGAGAGGCATGCAATCTGCTTTCTTGGCAATAAATGATCTAATCCTGCCAAGAATGGAGAAAAGGACTATTTGGGAAACATCCCAAGAGCAAAATCCTTGACAGGTCTACTCAGATATAAGACCCCTGGCTTAATCTCTGGCATGTGGGTACAGGATTGCAACGGCAAGTTATTTAATACTAGGCAGGTGGGACTGTTCCCAGTTTAACAAAAGGAGCAGCTAATTTCAGTGATGCACTGGGGCAGGTATTTTGAGTGCTTTTTTAAAATTATAAGGGAAACCCACGAGGGCTGTCTCCAGATGAAGCTTTAAGCTTGCCATCATCCTGCCTCATTCATAAGACTCCTCATTCAGAACCCTCCCATTTCCCCCAGTGTTTCTTCCATCTTTCCTTACCACAGAAAATCCATCCATTCAGGAAAGGAAGGCAGAAAGATGGAATAGCTGTGCGATGCCTTTGGACTGTCAGCACTGGGAGCCTCTGTCTGGAAACATCCCAGAAAACCTTCTCACTTGACTGTCCCAACTTTTGTGTTTGGTTTTTTTTCCACACACATGGTTTCCCACATGAATACTTAAAATATTTAGCACTGTTTGCATAAACGGGGATTGTTAGCACAAAGCAGTTCTCAGCAGCCAACAGCGCAAGTGGAAAGACTCAAGCTCCATTACTCTGAGCTTGGCAGTTAGTTTCCTCCAGCTATGCTCTTACCATCTTTTTTTTCCACTGATCCCCTTGGCCTGGCAACTGAAGCATCTGAAGGCAAGAAAAAGACACAGGAAGAATCACTAATGCAAATCAACAAAATACACAGAGGGGTACAGGAAAGTACTTAGAAGCCAATTTATTAATAAGTAGGGAAAGTATTTTACGGTAAGTATTCTATCATTTTTAGAGCCTAAGGGGGATGAATTGGAATTTCTAATGCAACTTTGGTAAGCTAACATTTATGTACAGATAATACAAAAAACTGAGGACAAGACGATTCATATTTAGATTTTATAACCCATTCTAAGTGAGTTGTTGTCTCTGGTGTATTAGTTTAGTTGGCAAACTAAAACAAGTTAGCATCTGCCAGCTACATTCTTCATTCTTGAATAATGTAGCTTTATGCAAAACTCACATCAGGGTATTTGTGCATTTCTTTTGGTCTGTTTTAAACTGGGAAACCAGCTATACAATGGAAGTTAGAGACTTCGGGAGGTACGATAAGTGAACCAAAACTTAGCTCTCACTTTGAAATTCAGGCTGCACCCATAAATAAAATCCTAATACAAGGCTTACAAGATAGAAGATCACAGGGGCAGCAGAGATAATGGCAGAACACATGAAGTCAACTGAATTAGAAAGATTTGTGCTAGATCAACCTCAGAATGATTTGCCTTGGCTTTTAAAAATCATTTTTTTGCCCATATTTGATTCTGTTTTGCTCAAATGGTTACCTTTTCTCAACATTGGATTACGGTTTGATGTATTATGAGGCCACAGGTATAACAGGATGCACTAGCTGTCCATGCAGGTTACCTTCACAATTAAGGAAGCTTTACTATGAAACTACAACCCACTGTTTTCTGGTACTTCAGGCCACACAATGACCTTCAGCTAATCTCTAAGATGAAACATGATACAGAATCAACTCATCATGGAAGCAACTGCCAAATGGAGGGATTTAAAGCAGTTGCCACAGGGTGGATCATGGAGACACACTGCAGGGTTGGTTATGAATGGAAACGCATGAACACATCAGCACATATTGAAGGGTTTGCCTGTGCTGCATTTTGTTAACGGTTATTATTTTCTCTGTGTCAACCATGTTTTTGTCCAATGAATTACATACACTTAACTGAATGTTATGCATGTCAGTGTAATATGTAACACAGCCAATCCAAGTGGGACAACATATATTTGCACTATAAGAGACTACATACTTCAGTTGCAAGAAACGCTCATGCAGGAGACACCTTGCTTTGCGTTCTTGAGGATGTGTACATAGTGTGCAGGTAAAGAAATTCTGCATATCAAACTTTTTCTCTCAGCTTGATGCTTCAGAAGTAAGCTAAAGTGAGTCCCAGGCCTCAGACCCCAGGTTTCAACCAGCAACAAATTATTTTCTAACTCTGAGCTATGCCTCTGCCCACCCCACCCACCCGCCCCATTAAAAGTGCTATCATCACTTTTTTGATAGTGTGGATAGCACCATCCACTCTAACTTCAATTGCCCCACAAATATAAGTGCCAGGAAGATCAGCAAATAATCAATACAGGCTGAGCATGGATACCATCATGTAGCACTTAAGAATGAAAAATGCTGACTTGAAAAGCAAAACCTAAATCCAATAGCAAGATCTAAGCATTGGTGCATGTGCATCAATAACCAGATTCCAAACTGATTTCCAAGGCAAGGGTGGGGAACACTGTCCAGACGTTGTTGGATTACAATTCCCATCACCCCAACATTTGCAATGCTGACCAGGACTGAGCGGAGGTGTAATCCAGCAACATCTGGAGGGCTCTGCTGCATGAGAAGGGATTCCTTGATTAGAAAATGTAACATGTGAGTCAACTCAAAAAATTTCTACATTTTTGTAGAAAATGAAGCTCTTTGAAAGAGGGAAATAGGAATTCTGGTGTACTCTGAAGTCCTACCTGTTGCTTTTGTCCCACATTGTTCTCTTTAGCATAAGTACTACTTGTATCTGCCAGTTCCCCTGGTGTGGGCTGTTCCCCTGCCTGGCCGCTTCCTTCCAAGCAATCATCCATTTTCAAAGATATGAAAAACCTGTAATGGCAGATACAGCCAAAAATGTTACCAGTGGGAAGTGTCCGGAATTTAGATGGCTACATTTAATTTAATTCCACCATGGTTGGATTACTTTTCAAGCATTTTGGGTCCTTTGTTTCTTTAAATAACCACACTGCTTTGATGCTCAAGAGGGATTTGGCATTAACAAAGGTTTATTTTAACGCAGGAGTGCATTAAGTCCCATCATTCCCAGGCAGCATGAACAATGGTCAGTTTCTTTAGTTAAGGGAATTGCAGTACTGTGATAATTGCAGGGCTGCAAATTCACCACCTCTGCTTTAGTGGAATTGAAATTATGTATGCAGCTTTATAAGAAGGTACTCTCATTATATTACATTATGGACAAGAGAATTCATCTAAAATCCTTAATGCTCTTGAAAAAAAACAGTCTACAGAATGCAGCTTGGCTACAGCAAATGCATTCTGTTCATTTTAACAGAAACAGCAGGCGAAATGAGACAATGAAGAAAAATACTATGCAATTCCAAGTAACACCTGTAAATGCAATAAAGCCTATAAGAGGAATGTTGTGTATGTGGTCCACCTACATTGCATATATTCAGCTTAGAATATTTCCGCAATCAATGAACAAACTGTTCAATCAAGACAGTAGCAGAGGGCTTAAGCTAATCGCTGAAGCAAGGGCTCCTCTACTCAAATTTCTACTGAACTTGGATCCTTCTTTATCCCTTGTAAAAAATACCCTGCACAAGTGTAGAAGAACTTGTTGCAAGAACAGAATTCATAAAACACTGGAAGGGTGGGGGCATGCAATGGACTGGAACTATATGGGGACTGCTTAAACTAATATAATTATCAGCATGTCAGAAATCCAGTATCAGGTATTTCTTAAAATGACTGAAAATTGAAGACTGCTGGTTTTATATATCAAAGTCTATAATAGCCACATGGCTTATTAGCCAAGGCTTAAGCCCCCCTCACTACCAATTCCAGCCCCACCCCTCCAGCACCTGCAAAGAAGAAGCCAGGCTTCTCTCCTTCTACTGCAGCATGAAAAAGCTTTTTTACCTTCCCTAAACTGTGTGACAAGGCCCAGAGCAGAGGACCTGGGGGAAAGGCAGAGTCTCATTTCATTCACATGGGGGCATGCAGTTCTGTAAACCTCAGACTGAAATAGCAGCTAGACAGCCCTGTGTTGTTGTCATTTAATTAAATTTCTATACTGCCACATAGCCATAAAAGGCTCTCAGGGTGCTTTACAGAATACATTAAGGCAATATACAAGATGCAATAAAATTCAATATAGAACAAGGTACAAGAATTCAGAATGAAACAAAATCGAAACAGCTACATGAGGCAATAATCACAACAATTTACAGAATTTATAAAATGACTGAAGATTGAAGAGCACTGTTGTCTTATGGAAATGGAAAAACTGCCTTTATCAGTCTAGGTTGAATGGAGCTTGTGCATATGGCAACGAAGGGCTTCAGTACTATCCGCTGGTTCTAACAAAATGCATTCTTGTTTCTCAGCTATTGCACACAGGCTGCACATCTTCCTTCACATCTCTCTTGATACCTGTAACAGCTGCATGCACAAAGGGAAGACTTGCGAGAGTGGCATTAATATTCAGGGTGCTTCCAGATGTTGTCCAAACATGGACTGGTTTGTGAGCTGGAGTACTGCTGCAGAATGAAACCAGGTCAGATGGTGTGAAGAATGAACTTTGTTTCGCAAAATAAATGGCACCCAGTGGATTTTTCCACACCGGGGCCCCAAGCCATAGTTTGGGTCCTCTTTTTATAGTAGTGAACAAGCAAGAGGTCACATAGTCCCAACCACTGGCACAGCTTTCTTATCAAAGAGCAAGCACTTTCTGTTTTGGAACAAACACATTTCATCTTGTTCAGCCCAGGTTATGACCGCCTTTGGAATTCTTCAGGAAAGCACTTTATGAGCTAAGAAAGAGGGAGGAGGGAAGCTTACAAACTCAATTATGGAAACATCCTCAGGGAAACATATGGAAAGTATGGAAAATCCTTATCACAAGCAAGGCTTTTATGGCACCAGCACCTTGTCTCACTCAGAGATGGATACAGAGGCACGAAGAAGCCATAGTCCACTCATGATCCTCTAGTTTCCCAACCACTTCTGTTCAAAATATCTTATGAAATGCTTAATTTTCCCAACAATTTTTATTATTTTCAAAGCCTGTGTGTTTCAAAGAATGCAATGGCAACATCCACAAAAACACTTTAAAAAATAAGCAAGGTGGAAAGTGGCAAACACCTCTGCCTTTATTGCAAGGAGATAACAGCTCTCTGCCCCAGGTTAGTATATTCAACTGAATATATGAGTGTTGTTTGGGATAGTGAAACATTACACATTTGTATTTGTGATTGTAAAATCTTGTTTATTTACAGAAGCTATTTTGGGGAAGATCTGCCCTGAAAGAAACCTATACATTTTAAAATAAATGAAAAATAATTGAAAATTTGGTGCCATTTAATGATAACCCAAAATTTGACATCTAAAGTAGGCCACTTCTCTGTATCCATTATTAAGGCTAATTCCAACAGTAATGTTTTGTCACTATGTCAATCTTTAAACAGTTCTTCACACCTCAATTCTCTGAAGGCCTCACTCTTTATGTCACCAGCACAAGAGCACACAGATGATAAATAAAAGTACTTCCCAAAGGCAGGAGAAGGAGAAGAGGTAATAGTTTGGAGCATGGTTTGACTGCTCATTTGGAATACAAAACACTTAAACAACAGGCCATTAGGTGTCACCATTGCTCTGTGAAAGTAAGGCCACTTCGCAGTTATTTAGAGGAATTAGAAAGTAGATGCTTGTTTTTGGCACAGGTGGTGAAGTATGAATTTGAGCTCTCTTTCCATAGCTAAATCAAATAAGTTGTCAATCCTATACATTTCTACTCTGAAGCAAGCCCCATGGTGTTAAATGGAGATGCTTTGGGTTAGTGGGGACTCCGTTCCAGCCAGCACACTCCTTTGAACTCCCAAGGTCTAGTCCTCCCTTAGGGCTGGGACTGTGCCATTTCAGACATCTGGAGGCACTCAAATGATTGAATGCTCTTCCAGACCACAAACATGGATGGGTTGGGGGGCAGTCTAAAGTCGGCATCTTTTCCCACGTGCTTAGTTTTCTATGTGCAGTATTTTTCATAGGCGTACTATCTCAGGGAGAACTGGGCCTTTATATTTTATTATATTTTTATACCTTATCCTTGAGGGACAAGTGACTCTTAATGTGATTTCCTCTTTCTTTATGTAAAGTCACCATGGTGGCTCAGGACTGAACAGAAGAACTACACTATTATGATGTCTTTAGACCCCTTTCTCCAAACAAAAACATGCTCAAGACAGCTTACAAGCTAACCTGTTCCCTATGAGTCATGCATCTGCTCAAAATCCCCACCCACCAGTGCTTGTGGGGAAATAATGGTGCAGCGTGGCCCCGAGGTACATTCACCAAAAGCCCCATCTGCTTCTTCGTGGCTTTATGAAACACTCGTGCAACTTAGAGAACTTTAAAGGGGAACTCCTGGAAGATGCAGCTATCCAAGGCTACTAGTCATGCTGCCGAATTGCCGCCTCCAGGATCAGGCTTAAATTGAAGAAAGTAGGGAAAAGCACTAGGCCACTCAGGTATGACCTAAATCATATCCCTGATGAATATACAATAGAGGGGACAAATAGATTTAAGGAATTAGATCTGATAGACAGAGTGCCTGAAGAACTATGGACGGAGGTTCGCAACATTGTACAAGAGGTAGCAACTAAAACCATCCCAAAGGAAAAGAAATGCAAGAAAGCAAAATGGCTGTCTGAGGAAGCTTTACAAATAGTTGAGGAAAGAAGGGAAGCGAAAGGCAAGGGAGAAAGAGAGAGATACACCCAATTGAATGCATAATTCCAGAGAATAGCTAAAAGAGATAATAATGCCTTCTTAAATGAACAGTCCAGCTGAGCTATTCAAAATCTTAAAAGACGATGCAGTAAAAGTGCTACACTCAATATGCCAGCAAATTTGGAAAACTCAACAGTGGCCACAGGATTGGAAAAGGTCAGTTTACATTCCGATCCCAAAGAAGGGCAATGCCAAAGAATGTTCAAACCACCGCACCATTGCACTCATTTCACATGCTAGCAAAGTGATGCTCAAAATCCTACAAGCTAGGCTCCAGCAGTATGTGGAC